GGGAATGACCGGAGCCCTCCCAGCGCTCCGAGTGGGACAACAGCCCCTTGGGAAGCAGCGGGATGTTCCCTACAAAGAAACCCACCTTTCCTATCATCTCCTTGCTCCTTCTCCAACTGAGACAGCAAAATGTCTGGGAACGAAGGACACAAGAGCTTGGATATGGATCCGTCCACTGGAAAATCCGCTGCCCCAGATGTCCTCCTGGATTGGGGCAGATAGAAGATCTGATCCTGCTTTTCCTACCTTGAAATCTCCTCAGCGTCTCCTGGAGAGCAACGTTTTGCTGGGAAATAACATGGATTCTCTGCTCCAGGTCTAGGAAGGTGTCCGTTGGCTTCCAGGCATCCCCCTTCTCCCACCTGGATGCAAACAGCGTCGGGATGCGTCATCCCAGCTCAACGGGATGGGATTTTCCCTCCTTCTCTTTGCTTGGACTAAAAGGCACCAACCTCTTCATGGTGCTTTGGGCATCCTAGGATAGAAAGAGAGGGACAAAACCTCAGCCTCCCATTCCTGAATTAGGGAATTCCTGCAGCTCGGGCCATGCCGGGCTTGCATCCGCCTCCCTTCCCGTGGGATTTCTCCCCGAACCTGCATGAATTCCCTCGTGGGCCGCTCCAGCCTCCTCTCCAAGTCGCAGATAAGGATATCGAGCAGGGAAAGCTGCCCCGTCCCCTTGGCCTCCTCTTCCTCCTGCCTCTTCCCGATATCCCGATCCAGCTCTCCGAGCTGCGCCAAGAGGAGCAGCTCCTGCTCCTTCAGGAAGCGGCGCAGCTGCCGGAATTCCGACACCACCTTCTGCCTCTCCGTCTCCGTTCGCGCCTACGGGATACAGGGATGGTCCCCACCAAAATCCCTTGGGATTTGGATGGATGAGGAACGGATCCGCTTACCAGGAATTCCCGGCACCGCCTCGCTCCACTCGCCTTCGCTTCCAGCATCTCCTCCCTTCTCTTCCTGAGCTCCTCCAGGCTTCTCCGCGTTTGCTCCTGGTGGAAAAACACCCGATTTGGGAAATTTATCCTTAACTGACGCTGGGAGAAGGGTTTGGTCCCATTTGGGATGAGGAGCAGCCCTCGGAGCTGACCCCATCCACGCGGACGGGATCCTCAATGGAGGCTCCGTCTGGGATGTCACGGGGGGA